AACTTCAATTCTAGACAAGCAGGGTCAAGTGCCTGTCAGTTAAAAGACAAGTCTAGTCGCTATTGTTTAACATTAGCACACATGGCCGAGTAGTAGTGCCTTTGATTTCTAACCCAACGGGCCCAGGTTCTAGACCCATATGAGTCCATATTTCCAGAAAATAAATAAATTCAATGAAATATTAGCACAGGGAAACAGGGAGCAGAAAATTAGTGAATAAATTACTATAAAACAATTAGGATAAATTAATAATTCTGAACATAAGTAACGCAAGCTCAAGTTTACAGGAAAGAGACTGAATGAGTGACTTGGTGAGTGACAGTTCGTCCCCGTCTAAAAACTCTTCGATTGCTTAGCAATCTTCAAGTTAAAAAGGAAATAAATTGTGTCCCAGTAATATAATCATTCTATTATGATAATATTGCAGTGACTGCTGCAGTAAAATAATTTGTGTACAAACTTACGAAAGTAAACCAAATATCCCTGACTGATTTCATTCTCTGTCATTTCTCTGTATTGCTGTCCATCAGAAAAATCATAGGTGATACATGTATACGGCAATCTCACTGGAACAGGTTCCCCATCATCCAGACTGTTGCAATTAAGAGGAATTGTTAAAGCAGCCTTGTAAGTATTACTATCTTGTACAGCAGGGTGTAGTTTAACCAACTCACAAACTTGATTTGCTATTAACACCTATAAGTTAAAACATATAAAGAATACTCCATTAGGTATGTAGCAGTCCATTATTGGATAGTTTTATTCTAATCAACCAATGCCCTGTGTTAGCCTCAGTTGTTTGCAAAATATCTGTATGGTGGAGCATAAGAATTGGAGGTTTCAAACTCTAACCCTAAATTCATGTAACAGTCAAAATGTTAATGCCCTTGTCAGCAACTGGTAACAACTAATCCCATATATTTGATGTACAGGGACGTGCCACTGGCCAGGGTATGGTTTTTGGTCTTTCTGTCTTAAACAGGGTATACATTTCACAGGTGCTACAATTCTTCTACCCCCCCCCCCCCCCCCCGGGCAACTAATCTGTGATGACAACTTATTTGCATAAATAAATAAAAAGAACCTGGGGTTAGGGCATGTTAAAAACCACTTAGGAGGGGTTGTGGTTTGATTTTACCACGCCTGCCTTGGGCAAGAGTTTGCTCAAGACCTCAAAACCCTGACCCTATCCCACAAAAAATTTCGATTTTTCATACCCTACCCCAAACTAAATAACCCTAGGAATTGTACACCATATTTTACTAAGTTTTAAATGGAACTTTAATTGCTGGGATTTTCTGATATTTTTTATAAATGGATGGTAATTATAATTTTGTGGCTTATAAATTATTGATACTATAGGTTAGTCCAAATGCTGAAAAAGATGTAATTTTCTAGCATCAAGATTTTGTATTTCATTTCATTAAGGTGAATGATAGGGGTGGGCGGATAGGAAATTGCTTATACCCCTCCTTCCCACCCAAATCAAAAAACTCCTTCACCGTCACTGCATTCTCTGTGCACTGGCCTAAAGCGGCTTACCCAGACTAAAAAAAACGAAAACCATACCATTTAGCAGAAATAGGGGAGTACCCCTATTTTTAGCTAACTCAAAGCAAACCAGAACTCAACATTGGAGTATTGGGCTTTAATGGTAAAATTCTCTCTGGATTCCTGCAGACCATCTGCGTAATTGATTCGCCGTTTACAATCGAATCCGAAACAATTCCCCCTGAACTTTACTACTCTAGTAATCGTCATGCAGTCTTAAATTTCATCATCCTTTTCATAGTTAGTAGAAAGAGAATGTCTCCGTATAAAACACGACATCAGAGTAATATGAATATCTCTCAAATGATTATAAATATAGAGCCGATCTTACCTCCAATTGATATCTACGCTGGCCGCGAYACGTATTTTCATCTGATACAGCTTGTCTTGCTCTCTCTAACGCTCCTGTATGATTTATATCATCATCGGCAAGTCTGCACGGCGAGCATAATTCCCCAAAGTTGACATACAAGACAATTTTGTCGCCATAATCGGCAAACTTTAAGTTGCCTGGTGCGCACATTTGTGCGATTGGACGATTGCTCGTATTTGTAACATACCCATAGTCATCATCTTCACAGCACCTACTCATTGAGCAACCCATTCTTTCTACAAAATTGTAATTCTTCTGGACCTAAAAATGTGCATGTAGTCTAAATGATGATACATCGAGGAGAAAATAAAATAGTTATTAAAATGTTTTACTTTTTCTGCAGGGTCTTGTGTTAAATGCGTCGATCTTTTTAAGACGACATTAATTGCTCTTAAAGTTTTCACAAAAGTAGATTCATCTTTGTGAACGACTTATATGTGATGACTTTCTACCAGGCTTTCTACGAAATTCCGGTGTAATACGGATCAGTCAGTCAAGTCATCGCGGCTGTCACACGAGTTTCGATTGTTATCATGTGACGCTCCGATAGCACAGGCCACAGCCACTGTTCAATCAAAGACATCAAAATATATCGTAAAATTAGTGTCGCATATTAGTCTATCATGTTACATAAATAGCTGCTGGTTAAAATTTTTATTACGAAATGTTCTGAATTGTTGGGGAAAACGAGTTTTTATGTATCGTAAATATCTCGTGACGTGTTGTTAGGAGCCGAAAGGGAAAATGAAGTCATCCGTGTGCTGGCGCACTAAACTTTAGGCTGCATTGGGTTAGGGTCTAAATAAGATGTGTATCCTAAAATATATCAAACAGAAACTTATAATACATAGTCCCTTTTCATCATGTGTGCCTCGATCACTCATGGCGTTCTTATTCATAAATAATATTATTGTCAACTCATAAATAATATTATTGTCAACATGTGCAGGGGATTCCCCTGTATTGCATAAAGTGATATCTAATTAACGGTAACTAGACGCGGGGTGGGGGGATGATTTCTTGTGAACAAGATTTTTTTTCTTCTTCGTGGCTTTTGGGTAGGATATTTCTTTTCTCTCTTGGTGGTGTGCAGGGATTTTTTTTGTATGTATCTTTGCAGGATTTTTTTCGCCATATTTTAAAAAGTACAAAGTAAATAATTTTTAATCCTCATCTTAATTCGTTTTTTAGCACTCCCCAGTTTGAGCCTCTCTTCCATTACTCTATTAAAGTTGAATATTTTAGCACTAATTTTAAAATACAAACGAGTTGAGGTACCAACAGAAAATATAATTGATACATGGTATTGCTTTCATAGGATTATGACATATATTAGATTACTATATAATAGACAAACATTTACTGTAGTTAGATTTAAGTTTAGTTTCTTGTTGGAAATAAAAATGAGACAAAATTAATTATTTTTGTCCCTTTCTGTTCATATTTTACCTATATTCCTGCTTGGGATTTAAAAGTCTAATGCATATAGTTGGTCACGTAGCCTGCAATATCACACTATTCAGGCTTTTGGTATAAGTATGTTCTCAAAGTTTAGACTCGATGAATTGTAGAAGTACAACATTTTTGGGGGGCTTAGGGTGGTGCAAGATTTTTTTTTCAGGTCCATATGTTGTGCACGACTTTTATTTTTGGTTAAGATGGCTTGCAGGATTTTTTTTTCAAAATCATCGACCCCCCCCCTCCCCTCAAAAGTTAAATGGACCGTCCCTTACCAGTTAGATTTAGCATTGAATTCAAGGCATTACTTATTACATTCAAAGCCGCTCATGGCTTGGCAGTCTAAGATATAGCCTGTGCTCAAAAGCTAGTTTGTTGTTAAGTCCACCATCTACTTTAAAAATTATAAAAGACTCTTGGAGATCGAGCGTTTTCACCTGGGGGGGGGGGGGGGGAATCCCTTATAAAAGTTGGTAGGCATGCTCGACGGAAGGATTGAAAAATAACCCTAAAGGGTATGCATAAATAAACTTAGGTATCGATTCCAGACCCTAAAAGGTACGACCATAAGAGAAAAGCTCAAGTTTAACAAACTCTAGAAAATCAATGTCGATAGATTGTTGACTGTTTATAAAATCTATTTCTTTATAACGCTTCTTCAATTTTTTTCCCGTTCTTCAAAAATTGACCCTAAAGGTACAGAGTGAGCTCAGGACCCTTAAAGGTACGCAAGACTTTTATTTTCGATCCTAAAATGCCCGTCGAGCAGACTTGACAACTATCGTTTTCAATAGCAGCACCAAGTTTATGGAATAAGCTCCCAGGTTATTTCAATGAGAGTCATAATAAGAGAATGTTATAATAAGCTAAAACAACAACTTTCAAGGTGCACCTTTTTTAAAATAGCATTTTATTAAGATTTCTTTTTATGGAAGTAATATAGTTTTAGAAAAAAATCTGTTGTTTGCATGACCTTTTAGGTCAAATTGTTTTTAAATGTCATGGTCATGGAATTTTGCTGTGAATACAGTTGAATCTCCCATAAGCGGACACCCTTGGGAAAGGAAAAAAGTGTTTGTACGAAGACTATGAACATCTGCATCTATTAATATGAAATTAGCACACTATAATTGAAAACTTAAAGTACACATRMACCCTTTTAGAAAATCATTTTCAACAAAAGGCAGATATGATGCCTCCCTTGACCTCACTTCATTAGYATTTTCAATTTTCAAATGCCTTTAACYCAGAAAATAAAATTCAAACAACTTTTTTTCTTCAAAACAAAGATTAGCATCATATTTKCCTTTTTCTTTTTAACCTCACCACATGAAAGACCTGGTTATTAATATACATATACTACCATACATTCTTATATTGTAATCTATTCATCCAATTAGCCTAAAAATCTGCAGCTATACTAAACATTAATATTTTACTGTGCTCTTTCTTGTCATGCAATCCATTTCTTGATTACATAATTCAAGCTACAAGTTTGGAACTAGACAACAATCCCTTTTTGAATTTCAGAATGACCAAATTATGCCATGGGGTAATACAGAAAGCTGAACTCTGATAGGAATCAGTTTTTTTAGTACAGTATGAATATCCTATCATATAGATGTCTTCACTATAATCACATTGTTACAACAACTTTGCCAACTCTGTTTTTTCTAAGCTTCTTCAGTGTTTTACAGGCGTCATCTAGGGATACTGTATGGTGAATCACTGGTCTGATAAAACAAGTTTGAATATGAATATTGTAATACCAATCTTAGTATTGGTATCACAGCAAATTTT